ATTTGTTAGAATTAAAAATATATTGAATTCCAGGTTGTAAGGCAACAAAGTAAAAAAAGATTACTAAGAGGGATCGATGATTTTGTAACCCACTGAATAAATATGTTGCAGAGTAAACTAGTAGTACTTAATGAAAAACATTAACAAAATTTTTTTAAATAATAAAGCAGTATTTTGTGAGTAGAGATATCAGTGTATCTTTGGAAAAGGGGGAGAGGATGGTGAGGCAGACACATGTTGTGTCCTGTCACCTGTGTAACAGTATTTCAGCCCACTGAGATCAGAACAAACACAGGCAGTGTCAGCTAGCCTACAAAGTGACCAAAACAAAGAAGGGAATAAAAACATAAAACCTRTCAGAAAGCAAGGACAAGAGGCAGGGATTATCCAGAGAAACACTGCTTGGATTGCTGAGGCAGTTCGTAGAGCGTTGGTGAGCAGAGGACTCCGCTGCGGCTGCTGTCCAACATTCAGGCAGGTCTTATTGTCGCTCCACTGAGAGGAATGTGTGTCTTGCTGAGAGGGAGAGAGGATGTTGATGCGTGTTTCCTTACAGAAAGTGGTTTATCCCTGCTACCTCCTGTCCAGGCRGTGCCTATCACATGCTAACACCACCCACCTCTCCCTGCGCTCCAGCTTCTCCTCRCCCTCCAGGCTCAGAGCGGTGGGACGCACCTGTCCCTCACTCCCTGTCACATGGCAAAGAGCCATCCTCTCTAGCACGGGAGGGCAGGCGGAGGCCGAGCTCATCCACACACCAGCAGTGGCCGCGCTGCATGCCCTTAGAGGAGAGGCACTGTGGGAAACCAGAGCAAATAGACAGAGATTTTTACAGGCTGGAGAGAAAAAAACATTGCTAAATCCAAACCATCGCACTCCCAGCACTGTGTTTGACTGTCATGAAGACAAATTAATTGATTTCATTGTTGTACAACAAACAGTAAGTTAAAAATGACACTTGAAAACTTTAGGACACAAAAGGATTTGTGACAACATCTTTATTTATTTTGAAGTTATGTTCTGTTACTAAGACAACAGAGTTACAAGCTGTGTTTCCATTGACCATGAAAATGTGCAAATTAGAATTTCGAAAATAAATTTGCTTAACAGAAACATATGGGATCAATATTTTGGCAGCAGGAATTGAATTTGAATTGTTCCGATWKAATCTGAATGTACATAATTTGAAATTGAATGCATTCGTTTGAAAAGAAATTTCACTAAAATGAAACTGAATTTAATTATTTGAATTTGAATTAATTTGCTTTGAAACTGTATTTGGTTTATCAAAATTCAGTTAGACTACTTTCACTTTCAGTTCCAAAATTCAATTTTTTTGTGTCACACATCCTGGTGCTTGAGAAAGCCAGCCAGAGTWATCAARCACAGATCGACAGATTTCARTTCAATTCAGTTCAATTCAGTTTATTTATACAGTGCCAAGTCACAACATACGTTGTCTCACGGCACYACATGAGAAGAACAATCTAAAGAAGAAGCCAGCAGACCGCGTTGAATCACTTCATCACAGTCTCCCATCCTGAGCAAACGGTGGAGAGGAAAGTCTCCACATTAACAGGAAAAAAACCTCCAGCAGAACCAGGCTCAGGACAGGCGGCCATCTGCCTCGACCGGCTGGTTTGGAGGACAGGAAAGAGACACAGGTAAACACAGAAGAACTGGTCCAGGTGCACCTACTTCTGGAAAAGAGACAAAAAGAAAAAACATGTTATTGATAGAAATAATTACAATAAACATGTAGAGAAGAGACTAAAGACAACAGCAGAGTGAAGAAATGTGCTCAGTTTGTGCTCCAGCAGTCTAAGTCTATAGCTCCTTATCAAAAAAAATTAGCATATTGTGATAAAGTTCATTATTTTCTGTAATGTACTGATAAACATTAAAC